TAGAGCTTACAAAGAAGCGGGCACAGCCACTCTTCCAATTTTTGCTCACCACACCTTGTCCCGAATTGATCCTTATATCCTTACATTCACGATTCATGTCATAAGAAAGAATATATAAATATCATCATCATCATGCATGCATGCCTTGATACTAGATCATGTTTATTTTAAACTTCTGACAGAGGAGGTTCCCCAGCTTAGGAATCCATCCCAGAATCTATAGCCCGTTGATGAGATCCTCCATTGACATTCTGGAGAACAATGTTTTTCATCCTCTTCAATGCATCAAAAACCAAGAGGACGGGTGAAAATTCTGTTTTTGACATTGCATCATTCCAGGTAAATTTGCGGCAATATGCTGTTGTCCCCCGCGCATCAGGAACAAAAGAAAAGGATTATCCATAAGGGATATATGTTATTTTATAGTCAAAGAACATTGTCCTGCAATTAGTTATCATGGTTACTCTGCTCTTTATTTCTTTGATCACAGTCACAGAATTTCTCATCCTTCTAAGCAGACAGCTAAGTACTGAACGTGTAAGACCTGACTTGCTGCTAAAAATAGCAGATAATTGACAGCAACTTCTACCACTGTATTTTCATTCACAGTAGATGCGTTAGACTTTCAGCAGCTTATTCGCTGAGTTTGAGCGAAGGGGGCAGGTTGATCTGAAATTCTGTGGTGTCCAACTTGATTTGAACAAAATTCCAAGTTGACCAGAAAAAGACCTGGATCTATCCTGGTTGACTTCCTCGGTCAGTTTTAAGGGGTGTTTTTTGACTAGGTGATATGTTAGTTAACAAGATAATTGGTATTTTAATTGTAGTTTTTTTAAAAAAAAAATATTTTTTGTTTAAAAATATATTAAAATAATTTTTTTATTTTTTAAAATTTATTTTTTACACTAACAATATTATTTTTTAAAATTATTTTTTACACTAACAATATATATAAATAAAAATAATAATAATTTCTTTATCATCTTAGTCTAACAAGGTACTCATAATCCATTTTCATTTTATTTTATTTTTAAAGCAAGCTCTATCAACAGAACCTAAAGGCTCTTTTTGACCCCGTAAATGTAACGTGTGGCTGGCCTGTAAGAGACCATCACCTTGTTTGAAGTGGGTGAGAAATATCAATATCTAGCGTAGTTGTCTAATGAAACTCGGTGGATGATCCAGGGGCCTAGAGGTTGGGACATAAGTTAGAAGTGTCGATGCAAGTTGTTATTAAATTTTTTGTTTGAAAAAAAAAAACAAAAAACAACATTGTTTTGATTAAAAAAATTAAATATTTAAAAAAAAATTAACTTGTTAAAAGTTGGGTTGATAGACCAGGATTTTGATTAGGCTAGTTGGGTTTTTTCCTTTTATCTTTTCTTCTTAGTTTGGATCTTATAAAATGATTTTTAATTAACTCAATGTTGAAAGATAAAATTAATTAAGTAAAAGATAAAAAATCATATGAATCAATTGAACAAACCCTTAAATTGAGTCATGAAATTGGGGTATTTTTACATAACACAAACCAGAATAAATTATAAAGTTTAATTCTTATTCAATCTAATATTGAATCATAAAATTAAAAAAAAATAAAAAAAGAATAAACTAAAAAAACAGAAGTCAACCAAAAAAAAATATGAGATTTAATTCTCAATCAACTAAATTTTGAAGAATTAAATTGAAGAAAAAAATTGATCTCAATTAATCTACTAAACTCAAGTCAATAGAACATCATAATTTCATATAAAGTAAATTATATATATATATATATATATATATATATAAAGTTTAATTTTCAATTAATGAAGTATGAAATTAAAAAAATTAAAAATAAATAAAAAAATAAGTCAACTTAGCTAACTCGTAAAAAAAAAAATAAAAAAAAACAAAAAAATAAGTCAACTTAGCTAACTCGCAATCTGAGTCGTGAGATTATGATAACCTCATATAAAAAAAAAATTATAAAACTCAATTATCATTCAACTCAATGTTGAAGGATGAAGTAGATAAGAAAAAAAAAACTTAAGCCTGCGTTGTTAAACCATAAAATTTGTGACTCGGATTACGAGAACGTGATAACTCCTTGAAAATCAAATTAAAAAACTAAGTTTTAAATAATAAAAAAAAATCCCCAAAATGTTTTGAGAACTAGAGTGAAAAGGGATTTGGCATTTCATTAGTTATTATTATAGTGAAATGTCAAAATCTTTTAGTATATGCTAACTAAATAATTGTTTGTGCTGTGCTATGTGTCAAATTAATTTTTTTTATCATAAAAATATCCAATTATTATTAATTTTTTTATTAAAAAAATAAAACTATACGAGGATTGACCTGATGTAACCTAGCCGATTTAACAGGTCCAAAAACAACTTGAATAACTGATAAAAATTTAGTTTGACTAAAAAAAATAAGATGATATTTAAAAGTAATATTAAAATGATAATATATTATATTGACTTAGAAAAACTCAAGTTAATTTGTTACATCCACTACCCAAGTACGAGGCCTTGATGACACTATAAAAAAATAAAGAAAAAAAGTTATTAAACTCAATTATCAATTAATACAATATTAAATAATAAAATTCAAAATAAAATTCAACTAAAAAATAAGCTGAGTTAATCTGAGTTGACTTATCAAATTGTAGTCATGAGACTATAATAGTCCCATAGAAAATAAATTGAATAAATTATAAAATTTAATTTTCAATTAATCTGGTATTAAAAGGTTATATTAAAAAAGAACATAAAAAATCACCTGATTTAGTCAACTAAACCTGTGATTCAAGTCATGGGATAAAAATAACCTCATAAAATGCAAACAAAAAGAAATTATGAAAACTAATTCCTCATCAATCTAGCATTAAAAAAAAAAAACATGAGTCAACTAACCTAAGCTGCAACTCGAGTTATAAAATTATTATTACCCTACAGAAAGAGGAAAAAAAAATATGAAACTCAATTCTCAATCAATCTTCTATTGAAAGATTAAATTAAAAAAAAGGACAAAAATAATAACATGGGTCAATTTGAGTTAACTATTAAACTCGAGTCAGGAGACCATGATAATTCTATAAAAAAAATTATAAAATACAATTCTCAACCAACCCAACATTGAAGGATGAAATTAAAATAAATAAATAAATAAATAAAACCCAAGTCAACCTAGCTAACTTGTAAAATTCACAACACGGGTCATGAAACCTTAATAACTTGGTAGAAAGTAAATTAAAAAAAAATAATTATGAATCACACTCGATCAATCCAATATTGAAGAATAATGTAGAAATAAATAATTAAAAAATAACAAAAAAATAGATACATATCAACATAACTAACTTACAAAACTCACAACTCTAATAATGAAATCAATATAACTTCATAAAAAATAAATCAAAATAAATTATAAAATCCAATAGCTAGTAAACTCAATGCTAAATGATAAAATTTAAAAAAATTTAAAAAATCCTCAAATTTTCAATGATCAAAGTGTAAAAGATCTCGGTATTTGATTGTTCATTACTACAATGAAATGTCAAGACCTTTTAGTATATGTTAATTATATCATTGTTAGGAGCTACACTACGGTTAGATCATTTTTTCAACATAAAAAAATATTCATATGTTGCTAATATGTTTTCTAGTAAAAAAAATTAAATTATATAGGGGTTAACCTGATATGATCTAGTCAACTTGACAAGTCTAAAGACAATTCGAGATAATCATTAAAAACATAGATTGACTATAATTTTCTTAAGACTTCATTTTAAAAAAAAAAATATTGAGGCGAAAATATATTGGATCAATCCACGTCAACCCAAGTTAACCCGTCAAAATGCGACCCAGATTAAGAGACTATAATAACTCCATAAAAAGTAAATCAAAATAAATTATAAAAAATAATTTCTAATTAACTCAATATTAAATGATGAAATTAAAAAAAAAATCAAGACACGTTAGGTTAACTTACAAAACTCGCAACCTAGGTTACGTAACTAATATAATTCAATAAAAAACAAATCAAAACAGTGATGAAGCTCAATTCCCAATTAATTTATTATTAAAGGATGAAATTAAAAAACAAACTTAATTAAACAAAATATATAAAAAAAATAATCTGAGTCAACTCGGGTTAATTTGCTAAACTCGTCATTTAGGTAATAAGATTATAATAACCTTTAAAAAAACAAATTGAAAAAAAAATTTATGAAACCTAATTTAAATTCAATCAAATATTGAAAGATATTACAAGAACAAAAATTCAACTAAAAAAATAAAAAAATATGAGTGAACTTGCTAAATATACAATTCAGATAATAAAAATAGAATAAGAAAATTTATTAAATGATGAATTTAAAAAAAATTTAAAACTAATTTTTTTTAAAGAAAACAAAACATTGTTGAAGTTAACAACGTTGTATAAGTGAGCAATGATTAATTTTTCTTCTGAATTAGTCTTTCTTAAGTAATAATATCGATACTATTTTTTAGCTATTAATTTAATATTTTTGTTAGATTGGGTTTTAATTAATTGATGGTTAACTCCAATAATTAAATAAGTCAATGTATATTATATTAAAGTTTTTTTTTGTCCTAAAACGTTTGGTATTTTTTGACATTATGATTCAATGTATGTTTTTTTAAAAATTAAATTAATATTTTTTCAATGTTTTGAATTACTGATATAAAAATAAAAAATATTATTATTTTAATATATTTTTAAATAAAAAATATTTTAATAAGTAACTTGTACTGTACATCTCAAATATGCATCCATAAGGATGGTGAAAATTTAATAAGGTTAAAAAAATTTAAATAAATAAATTATTTCTGCAATAATTAAACTTTTCCCAATAAAAAGAATACTAAAATCTTCATTACAAACAAATATAAAAAGTATTAATGATAAATATCTATAGAAAAAAAGAAAAAGAAAAATAACATTTCAAACATCCTTGAGGCCTTGACTGACTGGAAACGCCGTCGTTTCCTTACGTTCCCTGCCTCCAACATCAAAACGCAGCCTCCTCCTCCTGTGCTGAAGCTTTGAATTAGGGTTTAGGGTTTTCTCTCTCTCTCTCTCTCTCTCTCAGTTTTTCCCAAATCCAAAAATTGAAATGGCTTCAGTGAAGAGAAAATCCATTGAAAGCCAACAAGAGGACCATCCTCTTCCTCCTCCTCAGAAACAACTCAGAGAAGATAACAGCAACAACAATAGTCGCAGTTCGAAGATTATTGGGCATGGCGAAGCAGTTGCGTGTCTGCACGACGTGTCGTATCCAGGGAATTATGTCCCTCCTTTTTCTTCAATCACTCAAACTCAAAAGGACTCAAAACCCGCAAAGGAATTTCCTTTCACTCTCGACCCTTTTCAGTCTGAAGCCATCAGTTGCCTTGACAGTGGCCAATCTGTGATGGTAATCTTTTTTCCTTTTCCCTTTTCTTTCAATTTTTTTAATGGATTGATTAATTGATTATTTTATTTGATGGGTTGATTGACAGGTCTCAGCTCATACATCAGCTGGGAAAACAGTAGTAGCATTATATGCAATAGCTATGTCTTTGAAGAATCAACAAAGGGTTGTTTACACGTCACCCATCAAAGCACTTAGCAATCAGAAGTTTAGGGAGTTCAAGGAGGAGTTTTCTGATGTTGGTCTCATGACCGGTGATGTTACCATTGACCCTAATGCTTCTTGCCTGGTGGGTTTTTTTTTTTTTTTTTTTTGTATTGGAGATTTTGTGTGATTATAGGATTTGTAAGATGTTCAAGCTTGTTTTTCAGGTGATGACAACGGAAATTTGGCGAAGTATGCAGTATAAAGGGTCGGAAACTACTAGGGAAGTAGCTTGGATTATCTTTGATGAGGTTCATTATATGCGTGATCGAGAAAGAGGTGTGGTTTGGGAGGAAAGCATTCTCATGGCTCCCAAGAATGCTAGATTTGTCTTCCTTTCTGCCACTGTTCCTAATGCCAAAGAATTTGCTGATTGGGTTGCAAAGGTGAGTTGGTTGTTGCTTACACATGTTAAATTCCAGCTTTCTTGTTAAAGATGAATAAAAATGCTGCTCCTGGCATTTTGTTTTACCAAAGTAGCTTCCAACTAAAGACAACTAAAAATGATGCCTTTTACATTACCGTTGACGACACCATGCTGAATGTTTGAGAATCTTGCTATCATTGTAGCTTATTAGTACCGTGGTTTTAACAAATTTAGTGGTTTAGTTTTTACAGTCGAGGTGACTACATTGACTATTTTCCTTTTAGCCTTGTAAAATAAAAAATGCATATGCTAAAGCATAGCAAGTTTACATACTCAACAATTGAAGTATTTCTTTTAAAAATAAATAATCATCTGTTTCCACATATTAAATTAATTGATTAATGACTCAGATGAATTTGATGGGCAATTCTGGACTAAAATTCTTTCTGATTGCTATTGTCTTTTCATGTTATATGTGCATATCAGAGATTATCAAAGACCTATTAAAAATGAGTTCGCAGCTCAAGCCCCCATTTTTTGTAAGAGTTAAAACTGAATGTCAACACCAACAAATACATGGCTCTCCACAATATTTTGCAGTCTCTGCTTAATTCTCTAGATATTCTGAGATAAGAAAAACAAGGGGTGCATTTTTTGGACATTATCCCAAGCTTTGTACATTAGCATATATTATTCTTGTGTAATTGTTGGATCCCCGTTTTCAGTTGGCAAAGAAACAAAATAAAACCAATTTAATTTCCTAGTGGAGAAATATGCTTGATTAACTACATGGTGTTACTCCAGGTCCACCAACAACCATGTCACATTGTTTATACTGATTATCGACCAACACCCCTCCAACACTATATTTTTCCCTCTGGAGGTGAGGGTTTGTACCTGGTGGTGGATGAAAAGGCAAAATTTCGGGAGGACAGCTTTCAGAAAGCAGTGAATGCATTAGTTCCTAAGGTTGAAGGTGAAAAGAAAAGGGAGAACGGGAAGTGGCAGAAAGGCTTAAATGTGAGCAGACTTGGTGAAGAAAGTGACATATTTAAAATGGTAAAAATGATCATTCGCCGCCAGTATGATCCTGTCATTCTTTTCTCATTTAGCAAAAGAGAATGTGAATTTCTTGCCATGCAGGTAGGTTCCTTTGCTGTTATGAAACTTATAGCTTTTATTCTTGTCTCCCTTACCCTCTCTGGTAATTTTGTGCATCTGTTCAATTCTACAGATGGCAAAAATGGATCTAAATCAGGATGATGAGAAAGCTAATATAGAAACCATCTTTTGGAGTGCCATGGACATGCTATCAGATGATGACAAGAAGCTACCTCAGGCAAGTTGTCCACCTCTTCTTCTTTGTGTCAAATGATCTCCCATGTATGGGAGACTACTAGTAATTACAATTAAGGATGCTGTTTTCTCAAGGCTGTTCCATATGAGACACTCTGAGTTCCCTTTTTGTTATTGATGTATTGACGTATTCATCTCAGTTAATATTTCTTGGTTATCTTTTTTAACCTACACACTCTCTCCCTCCCTGCATATTCATGAATGGAATATTTAATATTTCCATCTGACTTGTTTTTATTTTTTTATTTTCTTGTCTTTCCTCACCTTGGATGATATCTTGTTCATCTTTCTGTAATTCAGCTTTAATTCTCTTCTCAAGGGTTTTTTTTAATTTCTTTTATCATATTTTTTTTTTCATATTTCTGTTCTTAGCATTTCTTGTGGTTGAAATGCCTATGTAGAGTTTTTGCAGCCTTATGACCCAAGCAGAGATTTAATGTAGCACAACTTTGGATTTGTGCCCCTCAAATGTTTCGTGGTATGCTAGGTTTGGAGAATTATGAATTTTAGGTTGTCGCTACAGCTGTGAATAGTAACCCGAGATTCCTGTAGCAATAAAGGAAAAGAAGAGAAAGGAAGAAGAAGAAAATTGCACTGAGAGAAAAAAGAAAAGAGAGAATTGTTGGCCACACCCCCCAAACTAAACCAAAATACACGTGACTTCATAATCAAAATCCTTACAATTATCAAGAACTAAGTGCTCCTTTTATAGGCACAAAGGCCCTAATAGCTCTAAAAAAAATTAGAAAGAAAACCAAATAAGAAAAGGAAATCATGTATAATAGAAAACTTCTTAAGTAATTTTCCAACTTCCTAAATACATCACGTTTCTAAATAGTATTAAGATTCTTAAGACAAATTCCTAATATTCTAGATTCACAAGAAAATCTTAAAACAAACAGAATAAAAAATCAAAATAAAGGATTTTATAAATCTCTGTTTCCTTGGCTGCATCATGATTCTTGCCTTTCTGAAGCCATACAGGGGAAGCAGAAGACTTTAAGTGCATTCATTGGCTTGCTTTGGTAACATGCCATTATTTAAATTAACTTTGTTTTCCTTTTCTCTTGCGATTTCTGTGATCGCAAAACTTTAGAGACTAGAAGTTTAACTGTCATTGCACCAATTTGTATCCATTAATAGATTATGAATGATAATGTGCTGCATCTTGATTTTTGAAATTGAATGCCTTCATTTATCATTTCCAACATTTCATTCTGAAGAATTGTCAGTCTCTCACAAGGGAAAGATATAAAGGACGCAGTTTTCATATTCAGTTAGAATCTCTCGCTCTCTTAGGAGACTTATGGGTGTGATACTTGATTGCTTTTTGGCTGGTACAGTATGAGTCTATAAGATGCAAGGTTTACTATAAGCAATGTTATGTGTTTGTAAGCCTGACAAAAATGCATGCATTCACTCCTTGTAGATCTTTTTTTTTTCAAGCATTTTGATGTGCTGGTATCGTATTCTATATTAATCTACAATCTAAATTGTTGTGTGCAGGTTTCAAATATGTTACCCCTCTTAAAACGAGGTATTGGTGTGCATCATTCTGGCTTGCTTCCCATCCTGAAGGAAGTGATTGAGATTTTGTTTCAAGAAGGGCTGATCAAGGTTGGGAGATAAATAATTTATTATTTGTGGTTAAATAATGTATTATTTGTGGTTATGCTTTTCTTCCAAGCTTTAATGTGTGTTGCTATACATTTCTTACATAGTTCAGCTTCATAGCTTCATGAAAAATCTGCATCTAGTAATTGATGAATCCCCTGGCTGTTCTGAATTTTTTTCTCTGTAATAGCAGATTATCTCAGTTTGCCAGTTATCATTGGCTACTTATGGATCTGGTGCTCATTTGTTTTTTTCTTGAGATGCCATTAGGTTCTTTGAACGCTCATGCTTTCCTTTTGCTCATTAATTTGGAACGTAATTTTTAATTACCAAATGCTATTTGGTGCATGTGATATTTTAGTCCTTTTCCAGTCCTTTTCGTTTCTTGTTTCCGACCTGTTTCGCAAGCACAGTGATGATTGAAATTTCTTTCTTTAGTGTTTGTTTGCTACAGAGACATTCAGCATAGGTTTGAACATGCCTGCCAAAACTGTGGTATTTACAAATGTCCGTAAATTTGATGGGGACAAATTCAGGTGGCTATCTAGTGGAGAATATATACAAATGAGTGGCCGGGCTGGCCGTCGAGGAATTGATGATCGTGGGGTATGCATCCTTATGGTGGATGAGAAGCTTGAGCCTTCAACTGCCAAGATGATGCTTAAAGGAAGTGCTGATAGTTTGAACAGGTACTTCGGGTGCTTTCGGCTCTGCATACCTTTGCAATTCGCTTCTTGTCTCTCTAGTTGCAATTTGCTTCACGTTAACTCTATAATGGTTTTATGCTACCAAGTGCTGGGAATTCCTGCATCTGCAAAAATAGTGTTGGCTTATTCTTAAATACTCATTATGCATTTTCTGAATGACATTGGCTGGTATTGGATCTGAGCTAACAGTTGACTGCAAGTTAATGGTTCCATAACCTGAACTTTGTTTTTTTATGTGGATGGAAAGCTAAAACTTCGCTGTTTTCTTCTAAGAGAACAGTAAAAAAAAATACAATGAAAAGGGAAATCTAATATGAGTTCTGTTGGCTTAAGCTTCAATTGCTTAGTGCTACGTTGTTGCTCCTAACTTTCTTGAAGTTTTTTGTGTTGATCTCCTTTTCTATTGAATTCCAGTGCCTTCCATCTAAGCTACAACATGCTTTTAAATCAAATGCGCTGTGAAGATGGCGATCTTGAAAATTTGCTCCGCAATTCTTTCTTTCAGTTTCAAGCAGACAGGGCCCTTCCTGATCTTGAGGTCAGTTGATTTTAATAGAAGATCAAAGTTGTGAGATTTTATGGATGATCTTTTTTTTTTGTCCTGGAATAAGCATTCAGTTTTAACCATTGACAGTAAAAATTAAAGAATCACATAAAGATAGTATACAAACAAATTTATCAAGAGGAAAAAAAAAGAGTACAATATCTCAAGAGTTTCCGACTTTTGTTATTTCTTTATCCATTATTCAAAGTGATTTGAGAGCTCCCCTTTTGGTTGTTCCTGACTTTTGTTGTCTTTTTATTTCTTTCTTTTTTGAGGATGACTCCTCCCTTTTGTAAACATGAATTCTGGTTTGCTTTCCAATTCTTTTATCAAAACAATTTCTGGATAATGTTCAGGGATCTAGGACATAGCAGGAAACTAGCTGGAATACCTTTGCTTTGTAGATAAAAGAGACCTAGGCCAAATATTGAAGGAAAAAAAAAGTTTGCAAAGTCACTAACTTTTTCACAAGCTACATCTGGAAAAATTCCTTTTATTTGCTGAAGGCCAGCGTGATCATGATGGTTTTTTCCATTTACAGTGGCCTTATCTGTGCACTGTCTCAATCTCCTTTCAGAATCAAACAGTGACATAAATGACCCTTTAATTAACAGTAAATGTTATGTTTGCAGAAACAAGCAAAAGTCCTTGAAGAAGAGAGGAATTCAATGGTAATTGAAGAGGAAGAAAATCTGAAGAATTATTATGATCTGATACAGCAGTACAAAAGTTTGAAGAAGGATGTTCGTGATATTGTGTATTCTCCAAAGCACTGCCTGTCCTATCTGCAGTCTGGCAGACTAGTGTGTATCCAGTGCACAGAAAGTGATGACAAGTCCCCTTCTTTCTTGATTGAAGACCTAGTCACATGGGGAGTGATAGTCAATTTTGATCGAGTGAAAGGTGTTTCAGATGGTAATAGTTCTTTTTATTGTCTCTGTTTTGTCGTGCCATTATAAGTCAGATTTATTTATTATTAGTAGTTGATGTAGATGATGCAATTAGAAAACCAGAAAATGCAAATTACACCGTGGATGTTCTTACAAGATGTGTTGTGACCAAAGATGGAGTTGCCAAGAAAAAAATCAAGGTTGTCCCATTGACAGAGCATGGAGAACCTCTCATTGTTTCTATTCCTATTGATCAGGTAGGCCCTATTCACTACCCTGCTGTTTAAAGTTGTTTCCAATATCCAACTTGTTTATTCTGTCCCTTAATGTTGTGGTGAAATCACAAATTATATTGGAAATTTCAATCTTTTAATTTTTCTGTGATGTAGCTCATGTAATTTTCATTTTATGTTTCCAACTGACATTTTCTTTCAATAGTACATTTTTTCCTGACATGATGCAGTGCATTTAATTGAATTGTTCTATCATTTCTTTCCTTTAATTCTAAAAATATCAGTTCTTTTGCTTTAATTTTGAAATCTTATCTTATTTCATTAACCAGTGACCTGATTATAATTTTATTCAAAGAAAATCATGCTTTTGGAAAGACTCTTCTATCATTGTTCTTTGTGGCTTCTTTAATTTGTCTTTCTCATATATGTACTTGAGTGAAGGAAGTAAATACTTTCTTTTAATTCGATGAAGGAGCCCGTAAAACAGTCAGGGAAACTTTAAGATTGTAATCTACTTGCTTACAAGCTCTGATCTCCAATTTATTTATTGTTTGTATTGAACATTGCATTAATGGACCTGGATCTGTTTCTCTAATTTTTTCTAGTCATGGTAGAAAGATATCATAAACTAAAATGGCTGACTTTTCTTGATAAAAAAAAAAGATTTTATTAAAACTATTTATGCTGACTAAGTTAATCCAGTAATAAAGTTCTGTTAGCTCCAAAATTCTTGGTAATTAAAGGGGTGTAATTTGAGTGTCAGAACAAGCATTCAGTGTGAAACTAATAATAATTCCACTGTTGAATGTAGAAGACTGTCATACTTTTGTCCAGTAATGAAATAGTTGTGATGTTATATGGGAAAAAAACATTTTTGTAAAAATAGTTGTTTTCTGATGCTTTTTTACTTGTTTGCTTCTCTGAAATCATTGATGTTACCCTTCAGCGAGAATGATTGTTTCACATTGTAATGTCTTGGACAGATAAATATTTTGAGCAGTGCTCGCTTGTATATGTCAAAGGATCTTTTGCCATTAGAAGTTCGAGAGAACACCCTGAAGCAGGTTTCAGAATTTCTTTCTAGAAAACCTAGTGGGTTGCCGATGGATCCTGAAGGAGACATGAATGTATTTCCTATATCTTTTGTGCTTTTTATTTTCCCATTTACTTTGCTTTGGTTTATATATATAAGAAACTCAATCTTGACCACTTTTTTGTTATTCTTCAGATTCAAAGCAGCTCATACAAAAAGGCAGTTCGTCGGATAGAGGCTTTAGAGCACCTGTTTGAAAAACATGAAATTGCAAAATCTCCACTTATCAAGGAAAAGCTCAAAGTCTTACACACAAAGCAAGAATTAACAGCCAGGATCAAGTTAATCAGGAAATCAATGCGCTCTTCCACAGCATTGGCGTTTAAAGATGAACTTAAAGCTAGAAAACGAGTTCTTCGGAGGCTTGGGTAAGAAAATTTTCAAATATTCACTTCTACAGCTTCATGATGTAGAATTAGGAGATGCCTCGGTCCCATGTACTTGAAGTTAAGTCAGATAGAAGGTTTTTTTTTAATATTATTATTGTTTCTGTCATGGTTTGGGGCCTAATGTTTCATTAGTTCTGTCTTTTTTTATTATTTATGTTTTTTTCCCTTCAAGTTATATTGAGAAGAATACAAGAGTTGGGTTTTATGAATACACTCTCACATCCAACCTTATATGAATAAGAAACCTCTAGCCTCTTTCTTTGTGCATATTGTCTGCACTGCAGGCAACTCAATCTGCATTTGTAACTGGCGCTATGATCATTTGACTGATTGCATTTTACAATATCGGGGATAAAAATTCTAGAAGTTCATATCTCAATGGCCTAGGGATTTTGTTTCAATGAAGTGTGTAAAAGACATTACTTCTTGAAATTTGTGGCACAAGCAATCCTAAAAGAAAATGTTTGAGCATGATATAAACAGTCTAGCAGGAGTTCTTTACAAGCAAAAAGGAAGAACACAAGTTCTTCAACAATCCATGTACTTGTTCATCTCTTTGTACATTTTGGCTGTGTATTTATTGGAAAACTCATTGTTTGGGATCTGGAATCTTAATATGATATATCATTGAAAGAAACAATAAATTGCACATAGCATTTGATGATTGTAGAAACCTGATCTATTCAGGAGATTTCTTTCTTCTGCATTTTGACTGGTGTCTAGTTGTCTTTAAATTGTTTCATTTTGCTGCAAAACTATAATACAAGCCTGCAATATCATCCTTTTTCTATTTCCTTACGCAACTAGACTGTTCAGCAATGACACTAGATTTCTGGTATGGGATTTACTGCAACTGCAGGTATATCACGAGTGATGACGTTGTGGAGTTGAAGGGGAAAGTCGCTTGTGAAATTAGTAGTGCAGATGAGCTGACTTTGACAGAGCTCATGTTCAATGGGGTTCTCAAGGACATAAAAGTGGAGGAAATGGTCTCTCTTCTCTCATGCTTTGTGTGGCAGGAAAAACTCCAAGATGCTGCAAAACCAAGGGAAGAACTTGACTTGCTTTTTACACAATTACAAGATACAGCTCGAAGGGTTGCCAAAATTCAGCTTGAATGCAAGGTACACATGGAACCTTTCCCGAAGTGTTTTTGTTTTCTTGATTCTTGTGCTTTGTATGTAATATGGATATTCAGGTTAACATTGAAGTCATGATTTATATAGATGAATTTTGGAAGTCTGTTTTTGAGGTTACAATCTTAACTTGTTCAAACAACAGGTAAAAAAGGTAGAAATTAGTCAGCAAGCTTGTCGCTCACTGCTCCATATGTTAAGCAGCATAGAATGTTGAAGCATACCTGTTATAACAATGCCCAGTTAATCCTTGGTTTTTCCAATTTTTAATCCAAATCCCATCTGGCACTAATTACCGCTGAAACATTTTCCTGTGAATATGAAATCTGTTTGATTATCATTAAAATCTTCTCATGGGGTCCGTATATTTATTCATTTTTGTAAATTTTAATTAGAAATTGACCTTCCTGTCATGATTACCTTTGGTGAACATGCAGATTGGCTGATGATGCCATCTACCTAGATGGTGAAGTGTGTCCTTGTAGCCATAAGGCAGTTGCCTCTTGTATAAGAACATCACTGTTATCTTTTTAAAATGAACTCCGGGTAGTCAAATTTCAAAGCAAAATACACAGAAAGCAAAGTTGAGTTGGCCCTTCATCCCCTGCTTGTATGAATGATTGATACCCAACTTTTCCAGACTACTACGTGTTTTTATGCTTAGCATTGGTTACAGATTCACCTGTGGTGTGCCTCACAGATTTTGGATTGAGTTTGGCCTTTATGCACATTTTATGCTCCTTTTCTAACATTAGCACGACGCATTGTATTTGGAAATTGATTCTCTCCTCATTGTCGTTTGATTGAGTGTTCTGTGTCTTTTTTCCCGTCTATATTTTTTTAAACAAAATGGCAGGTACAAATTGATGTGGAGAATTTTGTGAGTTCATTTCGGCCTGATATCATGGAGGCTGTGTATGCCTGGGCAAAAGGATCCAAGTTCTATGAGATCATGGAAATTACTAAGGTTTTTGAGGGCAGCTTGATCAGGGCAATTAGGAGACTAGAGGAAGTTCTTCAACAGCTTATAGAAGCTGCAAAGTCTATTGGTGAGACAGAGCTAGAGGCCAAATTTGAAGAGGCTGTTTCTAAAATCAAGAGAGACATTGTTTTTGCAGCATCACTATACTTGTAGTGGAAGATTTTGGCTTCACTGTGAGTGGGATAAACTGAGGGAAAAACTGGAAGGATCAATTTTTCCTAGGGAGTCAAAATTTCTTTATGATGCACCCAGACAGGAGGGAAACTTTATTGTTATGAAAGCAAACCAATCTCCAATAGATGCACGTGGGAAAGCTGCGTTGAAGAGGGGAATAAAGATGGCTGAAGAATTCAACTGTGCAGTCTCATGTTTCCAATGCGCATGCTTCTCGAAGGTTTCATGCTCCTACTGATCTTGCGCATCAGAATTGTGATGACAAGAGTGCCATTTGGAGAAAGGAAAGATGAAATGAAACAACGAAGTTGTAAGGTAGCTTTCATATCCTGAACCAGGAATCTTGAGCCTTTGTTGGCAAATCTTCAACCCTTTTTGTTATTTATATCATGGAGCACAGTAGGTGTACTATATAGGTAGTCAATCGGCAGTTTTGTTTTTAACCTGCACTTCTCAATTTTGCTATGAACTCATGGTTCATGGAATAGAATTGACTGCCTACTAAGGCTCTGTTTGTTTGCAGGAAATTTGTTTTTTTTAGAAAGTGTTGTTTCTTTTTAGAAAGTGAATTCCGGGGAAAGTGAATAAGGCTCTGTTTGTTTGCAGGAAATTTATTGTTTTTAGAAGTGGTTTCTTTTTAGAAAGTGAATTTCGGGGAAAGTGAATTCCTTCCAGAAAAGTATTTTTCAATGTTTGGTAATGTTATGAAAAATGAACTGGAAAATAATTTATTAAT